ACAGTTGGCCAAAGACAAAAGAAGAAGAAAGGGGGGTGTCCTGCTAGGAGGCAGTGGGAGAGAAGAAAAGGCAGGAGTGTGGAGGTGAGAGTAAGGAGTTTAACGCCTGATCCCTGTTTCAATCCAGGGGGTCAATGTTGACATTGTAGATGACTATAAATACCTCGGAGTATACATTGACAATAAACCGGACTGGGCTAAAAACGCCTCAGCACTTTACAGGAAAGGCCAGGGCCGACTCTATTTTCTGAGGTGGCTGAGGTCCTTCAACATCTGCCAGACAATGCTCAGGATTACGAGCTGGACTCTCTTAGGGTGGTGATGGAGAGGCGAATGTTATCCAGGATAAAGACAATGTTGGATAATTCCTTCCACCCACTGCATGACGTGCTGGCTAGCCACAGGAGCACGTTCAGTGAGAGACTAACATTACCAAAAAGCACCACTGAATGACACAGGAAATCATTCATCACTCATCCATCTAACATGTACTGCAATAGCTACACCTTTTTTGCACATGCTCTTCTTTCTTATTCAGATATTTATTAGTAAGTGACTTATATATATGCATATATTGTATATATTATGCTATTTCTTACTTCTTGTATTGCTTTTTTTTTATTACTGTTTGTAACGGAGCATCGTAACCAGCATAATTTCCCCTAGGGATCAATAAAGTATTCTGATTTAAATGTAGGGCCTATGACTGGTAAAAGGAGAGATCCAGCTGATGTAATGGTGAGAAGGAAGAGAAATGGGCTGAGAAGAACTTGTCTACTCCCCTAGAGTACTCAAAGCACTTAATACACCACACCACTTCCCTCTATGATTTTTAAGTGCTTATTAACTAACATTCACAGCATAGAGCAACTTATGGTTACGCCAGGGATTGAACAACCAACCTACCAATCAGTAGATAATCTGCTATTCCTCCTGAGCTACAGCCACCCATCAGTAAGCCTGTGTGCATGGGACCAGGTGTGAAGTAAGGCCAGGAACACTGGAGGTGGGTTCAATCTGTTCTACAGCGTAGATATAAAGAGAAATGGAGTAATGGTAATCTTTAAGGAAGAATATGTGACTAGTGTTGTGGAGAGTATCAGACAGGATCATGAGTTTGAAAAGGGTTGATGCTGAATATTGTCAGTGTGTCCCACAGGTTAGATGCCAATTCTCGTGATTATCTAAATGAAATTGAATTGAATTGAATAACATTGAAAAAAAGGTATCTATGCTTTAATCACATGCAAACTGGAAACTGCTGCTTTTGTATATATGTTGGCTTGGGCAAGGCATTATCAGGATTGGAGCTGATGTTGCTGCACCATCTCCTGACTGGTAGACAAAAATATTGTTGGCAATGTTACACTGGCTGCCTTATGAAGTTATTTTCAAAAAATCCTACTTGTGAATAATAATTCAAAAGGTCATCAGCTTTTCAAGTTTGCCTCATAGCTGTGTCTTACTGTGAACAGCAGAAGTTGTATATGTTAATTTATTGTCTTTATTGATTTTATAGCTTGTTGTGTATTTATCGCTGTGTCTTTTTCTATGGATTGTACAATACAATAATAATGTCCATCTATAGCTTAACTAACAGAACTCACTGCTAAATGGAGTCATAGGTTCCACACAATAAAGGGCGGTACCTAAAATGGGGATGCCACACCCCCTCACAGGCACCTCCCACAGGAGACCAGATAGTGCAGTTAGGGTCACAACATGTGTTCGGAGAACCTGAGTTGTTATTTCAGTTGTGTGTCTGTCACCTCAAGCTAGTCTGGCACTAATAATGTACTGTGACAAAGAGTACTGCTTCTCACTCGCGTTTTATGTTATGAAGTTGTTTTTAATCTCTAAAACTCTATCAGTGAATCCATTTGAAAACGGTGAAACCAGCTCGTGGTTAAAGTCACACCTTTGTTCATTCCTCTGTTGCAGGCAAAAAAAGGAGAACGAAAGCAACACATTTCTGTGAAAACAGCAAAGCATTTGTTGCGTGTGGTTTTAAAGGCTAGTGTCTGTGTGGTTTTCAGTTCATCTGATACACAGTGCTGTCACCGCAGTGGAAAATAACAGGGGGGGGATGCATGAGATTTGTTTCACCCCAGAATGTGCACAAGAACGTGGTCAAGTAAGAAAGCTGCCCATATACACACTGACTGTGTCAGGGTGTGATAGAGGTGTAATTAACATTTACAAAGTTAAAATAAATTTAGATGGCGTCCATTTAGTACCACTTATGTGGTAGTAATGTTGTATTAAATCTGTGGTTTTTCCATCAGCAAAGAGAAAACTGTTGCAAGATTTTCTGTGTTTCTTAATCATCTGTAGTCTTAAAATCAGCAAATTCTTACTGTTCCACAGATTTTATTCGTGACTCTTACACTGCTTTTCATCAAAGTTTGCAGGATCAAAAAGTATATTTTCAATTACATTTCATTATAAAACATATTACTGTCTTGGAATATTTTTCTAAAGTCTGTGAAAGTACAAAGCCTGACGTTATCTAGCTCAAGCTTCAATGCCTCTTCTTAAACTTTGCTGTGAACCATTACTGACTGTACAGGCCTTGTGAGTTCAGCTGTGCTCAGACCACACTGTGAAGTCTCTTCCTGTGAAGTGATCAGTATCTCGCTCATGCCTCCTTCCCCCTGAAGACGACATGACTCTCCCTATGAGTAACTTTATATGCCCATATTTTATTTGATATGAAGACAAATTAAGGCTGAAAAACAAACATAAAAATGTTTAGTCAAGGGTTATAAAGACTAAACCACTAAACACGTTTTCCCATCATGAACACAGAGAATCAGCTCTATGCACTGGCAGCATAAACAACATGAGTTTCACTTCTGTCTCTATTGCAGGCCTTCTGCTTTTTGGTGTTTGTGGGTGGAGTCTCAACACTGCAGAGTTCAGGTAAACGGAGTCCACATTCTGCAGGTGAAAACATTTACAGCCACAGACAAAAAAACCCCACACAGAGTCAATACTTTCACTATTCTCGACTGTGTCAGTTTGATAGCATATGAAAGATAATTGGACTTGGCTTCAAAAAAGTAGGGTGAGAACCAGTTGATGTTAGATTTCAGATGCTTGTGATTTAGGAAGCATCTGAAATCTACCACAGGTGTCAGTGGTCAAGAGGCTAGGTAGAACCTGACCAGGCTTTCATTATGTAGAAGTCGCCCAGCCGGGCAGGGGAATCAAACCTCACATTTGAGCTGCAAAAGTTTAACCATGATACATGAGGTTACTCAGTGTTACTGTATTACAGTCTAATGAAGAAAGTGCAGAAACATATATTAGTCTGTGTCCAGATCAAAGTCAAATTAATTTCATTAATTCAATATTCTCTCTGATAAATATATTAATCAGTCTGATTGGTGTCACTGCGATACCAGCAGTGTAAAACGGACTATATGCATTACATCAACATGTAATCACTCGATTGATGCATAAATTCAGTGAATATCATTTGGACCTACTTTGTTCCTGTGATGTTAGCAAGAAACTGGGCAACAGGCTGCGTAACATAAAAATATGTTGCAATGAATGATGTCTGAAAAAGATTTAGTGACAATGTGGTGCTTGTAACCTTTGACAGAAACTCTGCTTTTACATTTTTCCTCAATAAGGGGAGAGATTTTCTTCCTTGCTTGAAGGCCGAGGTTTTTCTTATATTAATTACACATTTAATCCTCCTGTTAAATCGTAAACCTTTTAAAATTACAATAAAGAATGATTTACCTCGCTGCTTTGCTCTGGCTGCTGTTGTGGAGCTAAATGCCAAATATAAAAGTGTGATTAGTTTATTACCAACACAGTACTTTTTTTTAGGACTTGTTGACCAGCTTATAAGAGTAGGTGAAACAAATTATAGCCACATTTACCTGTTTGAGGTTTCCTGACTTTTAAAACCAGAACAATGACCACCATAGTGAGTAAACCAGTCAGACCAGCCAGGATGATGGAGGTGTGGAGGTGACAAAAGGTATATGAGTTTG